CCCTGCCCCAGGATACTCTCCTGCAACCCAAGACGCCCCCGTGCCCCAGGAACACTCCGCGGCCCCAGGATACTCCGCCTGCCCCAGGATACTCCCCTGTGCCCCAGGATACCTCCTGCCCCAGGATACTTCCCCAACCCCAGGACAGGCCCCCATGCCCCAGGATACCACCCGTGCCCCAGGATACCTGCCGTGCCCCAGGATACTTCCCTGTGCCCCAGGATACTCCCCAGTGCCCCAGGATACTCCCCCGTGCCCCAGGATACTCAGCTGCACTCCCCCGTGCCCAGGATACCCCCAGTGCCCCAGATACTCCCCAGTGCCCCAGGATACCTGCCGTGCCCCAGGATACTCCCCTGCCTCAGGATACCCCCCTGCCTCAGGATACCCCCGTGCCCCAGATACCCCCCGTGCCCCAGGATACCCCCTCTGCCCCAGGACACTCCCCCTCGGCCCCAGGACACCCGCCTGTGCCCCAGGATACTACCCCTGCCCCAGGATACCCCCTGGCCCAGAATACTACCCTGTGCCCCAGGATACCCCCCGTGCCCCAGGATACCCCCTGTGCCCCAGAATACCTCCGTGCTTCCAGGATACCCCCGTGCCCTCCCCTGAGCCCCAGGACACCTCCGTGCCCCAGGATACTCCCCCGTGCCCCAGAATACTACCCCGTGCCCCAGGATACCCCCCCGTGCCCCAGGATACTCCCCTGTGCCCCAGAATACCCTCCTGTGCTTCCCCATGCCACCCCCCTGTGCCCCACTCCCCAGCCCAGGATACTCCTCCTGCCCCCTGTGCCCCCCGGCCCCAGGACACCCCCTGCCCCCTGGCTCAGGATACTCCCCCGTGCCCCAGGATACCCCCCGTGCCCCAGGATACCCCCTGTGCCCCAGAACACCCCCCCGTGCCCAGGACACCTCGCGGCTCCAGAACTCCTGCCCCAGGATACCCCCGTGCCCCAGGATACTCCCCGCCCCAGAATACTCCCCCACACTTCCCCTGCCCCAGGATCCCCTCCCCCCCCCAGCACACCCCCAGCCCCCCTGCCCCCAGTGCCCCCCCGTGCCCGATACCCCTCCCTCCCCCCGCCCCAGGACTCTCCAGGCCCAGACTCCCCCTGCCCCAGGATACTCCCCCGTGCCCCAGAATACCACCTGTGCCCCAGGATACTCCCCGTGCCCCAGGATACCCCTGTGCCCCAGAATACCTCCGTGCTCAGGATACCCCCGTGCCCCAGGATACCCCCCCTGTGCCCCAGGATACTCCTCCTGTGCCCCAGGATACTCCCCCGTGCCCAGAATACTCCCCGTGCCCCAGGATACTCCCCGTGCCCCAGAATACTCCCCGTGCTCCTGCCCCAGCCCCTCAGCCCCAGGATACTCCCCTGCCCCAGAATACCCTGCGCTCAGGATACCCCCTGTGCCCCAGGATACTCCCTGCCCCACACTCCCAGCCTCCCAGGATACTCCCCTGTGCCCCAGGATACTCCCGTGCTCAGGATTCCCCTGTGCCCCAGGATACCCCCCCTGTGCCCCACCCTCCCGCGCCCCAGGATACTCCCCTGCGGCCCCAGGATACTCCCCCGTGCCCCAGGATACTCCCCCCCCCGTGCCCCAGAACACCCTCCAGCTCCCTGTGCCCCAGGATACTCCCCGCCCCAGGATACTCCCCTGTGCCCCAGGATACTCCCCGTGCCCCAGAACACTGCCCCAGGATACTCCCGTGCCCCAGACACCCCTGTGCCCCAGGATACTCCCCGTGCCCCAGGACACTCCCCTGTGCCCCAGGATACCCCCCCCGTGCCCCAGAATACTCACCTGCACCCCACCCCCAGTGCGCCACCCCCTGCCCAGAGACTCCCCAGTGCCCCAGGCACCCCCCGTGCCCAGGATACTCCTGCCTGAGGACACTGGCCTCAGGTACTCCCCGTGCCCCAGGATACCCCCCGTGCCCCAGGATACCTCCGCTCAGATACCCCCTGCCCCAGGATACTCCCTGTGCCCCAGAACACTCTCCTGTGCCCCAGGATACTCCCCTGTGCCCCACTCCCCGTGCCCCAGGACACCCCCGTGCCCCCACCCCCAGCACTCCCCTGTGCCCAGGACACTCCCCTGCCCCCAGGATACCCCTGTCCCCAGTGCCCCAGATACTCCCCGTGCCCCCCCCCCCAATGCCCCCCAGGATGCTCCCTGCCCGTGCCCCAGAAACTCCTGTGCCCCAGGACCTGTGCCCCAGGATACCCCCGTGCCCCAGACTCCCCCGTGCCCGTGACACTCCCAGCGCCCAGGATGCTCCCCCCTGTGCCCCCTGATACTCCCCCAGCCCTCCGTGCCCCAGAACACTCCCCTGTGCCCCAGGATACCCCCCTGTGCCCAGGATACCCCCCGTGCCCCAGGATACCCCCTGTGCCCCAGGATACTCCTCCGTGCTCCAGGACACCTCCGTGCCCCAGGATACCCCCCGTGCCCCAGACACCCCCCTGGCCCCTGACACTCCCCCGTGCCCCAGGATACCCCCGTGCCCCAGGATACCCCCCCGTGCCCCAGGATACCCCCTGTGCCCCAGGACACCTCCTGCCCCAGGACACACTCCCCGCCCCAGAATACCCCGCGCCCCAGGCACTCCTGTGCCCCAGAACACTCCGTGCCCCAGGATACTCCCCCCTGTGCCCAGTGCCCCAGGATACTCCCCTGCCCAGGATACCCCCCTGTGCCCACACACTCCCCATGCCCCAGCATACTCCCCTGCCCCAGGATTCTCCAGTGCCCCCTGTGCCCTGGATACCCCCTGCCCCAGATACCCCCCTGCCCCAGGATACTCCCGTACCCCAGGATACCCCCCCGTGCCCCAGGACACTCCCAGTGCCCCAGGATACCCCCGTGCCTCCGCCCCAGGATACTCCCGCCCAGGATACCTCCCCGTGCCCTGGTGATACCCCTGTGCCCCAGATACTCCCCTGCCCCAGGATACTCCCCGTGCCCCAGGACACCCCTGCCCCAGGACACCCCCAGTGCCCCAGACACTCCCCCCGTGCCCCAGGATACCTCCCCTGCCTCAGGATACTCCCGTGCCCAGGATACCCCCCCTGTGCCCCAGATACTCCCCGTGCCCCAGGATACCTCCCCTGCCACTCCCCGCCCCAGGATACTCCCCTGCCCCAGGACCCCCCTGCCCCCCCGTGCCCCAGGACACCCCCGTGCCCCAGGATTCCCCTGCCCCAGAATACTCCCCGTGCCCAGGATACCCCGTGCCCAAGAACACCCCCTGTGCCCCAGCACTCCCCCTGCCCCAGGATCTCGTGCCCTGGCTCCCCGTGCCCAGGATACTCCCCTGTCCCCAGGATACTCCACCTGACCCCAGATACTCCCCAGTGCCCCAGGATACTCCCCCGTGCCTAAGCACACTCCCCAATGCCCCAGGATACCTGCTTCAGGATGCCCCCTGTGCCCCAAGATACCCCCTGCCCCAGACTCCCGTGCCCCAGGACACTCCCCCCGTGCCCCAGGATACTCCCCCGTGCCCCAGATACTCCCCCGTGCCCCAGAACACTCCCCCCGTGCCCCAGGATGCTCCCCTGTGCCCCAGGATACCCCCGTGCCCCAGGACACCTCCGTGCCCCAGAATACTCCCCTGTGCCCCAGGATACTCCCCCCGTGCCCCAGGACCCCCTGTCCCAGGATACTCCCCCGTGCCCCAGGATACTCCCCGTGCCCAGGATACTCCTCCCGTGCCCCAGGATACTCCCCCGTGCCCCAGGACACCCCCCCGTGCCCCTGATACTCCCCCCGTGCCCCAGGATACTCCCCCGTGCCCCAGGATACCCCCCCCGTGTCCCACCTGCCCCAGGACCTCCTGTGCCCCAGGACACCCCCCCCCCCTGGCCCCAGGCACTCTCCTGTGCCCCAGGATACCCCCCCCGTGCCCCAGATACTCCCCCTGCCCCAACACCCCGTGCCCCAGGATACCCCCGTGCCCCAGGATACCCCCTGTGCCCACACACTCCCCCATGCCCCAGCACTCCCCGTGCCCCAGGATTCTCCCCAGTGCCCCAGGTACTCCCCGTGCCCTGTTCCCCACTCCCTGCATGCCCCCAGCCCCCTGTGCCCCACTCCCCTGTGCCCCAGGATACCCCCCCGTGCCCCCTGTGCCCCAGGATACCTCCTGTGCCCCAGACACTCCGTGCCCCCTGTGCCCCCCGTGCCCCAGGATACCCCCTGTGCCCCAGGATACTCCCCGTGCCCCAGGATCCCCCAGCCCCCTGCCCCTGTGCTCCAGCCCACTCCCCCCCTGCCCAAGCACTCCCCCGTGCCCCAGGCCCTCTGTCCCGTGAACTCCCCCGTGCCCCAGGATACCCCCGTGCCCCAGGATACTCCCCCATGCCCCAGGACACTCCCCCGTGCCCAGATACCCCCCGTGCCCCAGGATACTCCCGCCCCAGGATACCCCCCGTGCCCCAGATGCTCCCCGTGCCCCAGGATACTCCCCGTGCCCCAGGATACTCCCCCGTGCCCCAGGATACTCCCCGTGCCCCAGGATACTCCCAGTGCGAATATCCTCCGTGCTGAGATACTTCCCCACGTGCCCAGGATACTCCCCGTGCCCAGGATACTCCCCGTGCCCCAGAATACTCCTCCGTCTTCAGGATGCTCCCCGTGCCCCAGGATACTCCCCGTGCCCAGAATACTCTCCGTGCCTCAGGATGCTCCCATGCTAGGACACTCCCCGTGCTTCAGGATACTTCCCCGTCAGGATCTCGTGCCCCAGAATACTCCTCCGTTGCTGGGATACTCCCCGTGCCCCAGGATACTCCCCGTGCCCCGGATATCCCCGTGCCCCAGGAATACTCCTCCGTGCCTCAGGATACTTCCCCGTGCCCAGGATACTCACCGTGCCCCAGGATACTCCCCCGTGCCCCAGGATACTCCCCCGTGCCCAGAATACTCCCCGTGCCCCAGAATACTCCCCGTGCCCAGGATACTTCCCCGTGCCCCAGGATTCTCCAGTGCCCAGGATACTCCCCGTGCCCCAGGATACTCCCCGTTCCCAGATACTCACCCGTCCCCAGGATACTCCCAGTGCCCCAGGATACTCCCCGTGCCCCAGGACCTCCCCATGCCCAGGTTACTCCCCGTGCCTCAGGATACTCCCCCCTGCCTGAGATGCTCCCCGTGCCCCAGGATACCGTGCCCAGGATACTCCCCGTGCCCCAGGATACTCCTCCGTGCTCCAGGATACTCCCCCGTGCCCCAGGATACTCCCGTGCCCAAAACTCCCCGTGCCTGAATATCCCGTCCGGATACTCCCAGTGCCCCGGATACTCCCCCGTGCCCAGGATGCTCCCCCCGTGCCCCAGGATACTCCCCCGTGCCCAGAAGACTCCCCCGTGCCTCAGGATACTCCCCGTGCCCAGAATACTCCCCGTGCCCCAGCATACTTCCCCGTGCCCAGGATTCTCTCCAGTGCCCCAGGATACTCCCCGTGCCGGGATACTCCCCGTTCCCCAGGATACTCACCCATTGCCCAGGATACTCCCAGTGCCCAGGATCTCCCCCGTGCCCAAAATGCTCTGCCCCCAGGATGTCCTCCGTGCTAGGATGCTCCCGTGCCCCAAGATGCTCCCCCGTGCCCCAGAAGACTCCCCGTGCCCCAGGATACTCCCCGTGCCCCAGGATACTCCCCCGTGCAGAATACTCCCCGTGCCCCAGAATACTCCCCCGTGCCCCAGATGCTCCCCGTGCCCCGGATGCTCTTGGATACTCCCCCGTGCCCCAGAATACTCCCCCGTGCCCAGGATACTCCCCGTGCAGGATACTCCCCGTGCCCAGGATACTCCCCGTGCCTCAGGATACTCCCCCCGTTGGGATACTCCACCGTGCCCAGGATACTCCTGCCTCCGATTCTCCCGTGCCCAGGGTACTCGTGCCCCAGAATACTCCCCATTGGGATGCTCCCCCGTGCCCAGAATATCCCCAATGCCCCAGGATACTCCCGTGCCTCAGGATACTCCCCCGTGCCCAAGAATATCTCCAATGCCCAACATACTTCCCGTGCCCAGGATTCTCTCCAGTGCCCCAGGATACTCCCCGTGCCCCAGGATACTCCCCGTTCTGGATACTCCGTACCCCAGGATACTCCGTGCCCGGATACTCCCCATGCCCAGACCCCCCAGGATACTCACCCGTGCCTCAGGATCTCCCCCGTGCTGAGCCTCCCAATGCGGATACTCCCCGTGCCCCAGGATACTCCCCCGTTCCCAGGATACTCCCCGTGCCTCCAGGATACTCCCCCTGAGATACTCCCCATGCCCCAGGATACTCCCCGTGCCCCAGGATGTCCCCAGTGCCCCAGGAAACTCCCCATTGGATGCTCCGTGCCCCAGGATACTCCCAGTGCCCCAGGATACTCCCCCGTGCCCAGGATGCAGGATCTCCCCCGTGCTGAGACCTCCCCGTGCCCCAAGTACTCCCCGTGCCCAGGATACTCCCACCGTGCCCCAGAATACTCCCCCGTGCCCCAGGATACTCTCCCGTGCCCCAGGATACTCCCCCGTGCCCCAGGATGCTCCCCGTGCCCCAGGATACTCCCCCGTGTTGGGATGCTCCCTCGTGCTTCAGGATCTCCCCCGTGCCCAGGATACTCCCCGTGCCCCAGGATACTCCTCCGTGCCCCCAGGATACTCCCGTGCCCCAGGATACTCCCGTGCCCCAGGATACTCCCCCGTGCCCCAGGATACTCCCCCGTGCCAGGATCTCCCCGTGCCCCAGGATACTCCCCTGCCTCAGAGATCCCCCGTGCCCCAGGATACTCCCCTGCCTCAGGATACTCCCGTGCTCAGGAGTGCTCTCCAGTGCCCCAGAATACTCCGTGCCCAAGAATACTCCCCCAGTGCCTCAGGATACTCCCCGTGCCCAAGAATGCTCCCCATGCCCAGCATTCTTCCCCGTGCCCCAGGATTCTCTCAGTGCCCCAGGATACTCCCCCGTGGGACCTCCCCATTCCCAGGATACTCACCCGTACCCCAGGATGCTCCCAGTGCCCAGGATACTCCCCGTGCCCCAGGATACTCTGTGCCCCAGGATCTCCCCGTGCCTCAGGATACTCCCCCGTGCCCAAATACACCCAATGCCCCAGGACCCCGTGCCCCAGGATACTCCCCGTGCCCAGGATACTCCCCGTGCCTCAGGATACTCCCCGTGCCCAAGAATGCTCCCCAGTGCCCCAGGATGCTCCCGTGCCCAGGATATTCCCAGTGCTTTGAATACTCCCCGTGCCCCAGGATGCTCCCCCGTGCCCAGGATGCTCCCCGTGCAGGATGCTCACCGTGCCCCAGGATGCTCCCCGTGCCCCAGGATACTCCACCGTGCCCAGGACTCCCCGTGCCCAGGATACTCTCCCGTGCCCCATAATACACCCCGTGCCCCAGGATACTCCCCGTGCCCAGAGATGCCCCGTGCCCCCAGATGCTCCTGGTAGCTGGATCTCCCCGTGCCCCAGGATGTCCAGTGCCCCAGGATACTCCTCGTGCCAGGATCTCCCCGTGCCCAGGATACTCCCGTGCCCCAGGTCTCCTCGTGCCCAGGATACTACCCCGTGCTCAGGATACTCCCCGTGCCCCAGGATACTCCCCGTGCCCAGGATACTCCCATTGCCCAGGATACTCCCCGTGCTTCAGGATACTCCCCGTGCCCCAGGATACTCCCCGTGCCCCAGGATACTCCCCGTGCTTGGATACTCTCCCGTGCCTCGAGATACTCCCCGTGCTCCAGGATACTACCCCGTGCCCCAGGATACTCCCGGGCCCCAGGATACTCCCCGTGCCCCAGGATACTCCCCGTGCCCAGGATACTCCCAGCCTGAGATGCTGTGCCCCAGGATCTCCCCGTGCTGGGATACTCCCCGTCCCCAGGATACTCCCCGTGCCCCAGGATACTCCCCGTGCTAGGATACTCCCCGTGCCCAGGATACTCCCCTGCCGTGCTCCCATGGATACTCCCGTGCCTCAGGATACTCCCGGCCCCAGGATACTCCCCGTGCCCCAGGATACTCCACCGTGCCCCAGGATACTCCCCGCGCCTAGGATACTCCCCCGTGCCCCAGGATACTCCCGTGCTGGGATGCTCTCGGGATGCTCCCCCGTGCCCCAGGATACTCACCCGTGCCCCAGGATACTCCCCCGTGCCCCAGGATGCCCCTCTGCTTGGGATACTCGTGCTCCAGGATACTCCCCGTGCCCCAGGATACTCCCCCGTGCCCAGGATACTCCCCGTGCTTCAGGATACTCCCCCCGTGCCCCAGGATACTCCCCATTCTCAGATCTCCCCGTGCCCCAGGATACTCCCCGTGCTCCAGGATACTCCTCCGTGCCCCAGGATACTCCCCGTGCCCCAGGATCTCACCGTGCCCAGGATACTCCCCGTGCCCCAGGATACCCCTCTGTGCCCAGGATACTCCCCGTGCTTCAGGATACTCCCCGTGCCCCAGGATACTCCCCGTGCCCCAGGATACTCCCCGTGCCTCAGGATACTCCTCCGTGCCCCAGGATACTCCCCCGTGCCCAGGATACTCTATGCCCAATACTCCCGTGCCTCAGGATGCTCCTCCTTAGGATCCTCCCCGTGCCCCAGGATACTCCGTGCCTCAGGATACTCCTCCGGCCCCAGGATACTCCCCGTGCCCCGATACTCCCCGTGCTGAGATGCTCCCGTGCCCCAGGATACTCCTCCGAGCTGAGGATACTCCCCATGCCCCAGGATACTCCTCCGTGCCCCAGATACTCGGATCCTCGTGCCCAGGATCTCCCCCGTGGGATACTCCCATTTCAGGATGCTCCCCGTGCCCCAGGATGCCCCCGTGCCCCGGATACTCTCCAGCCTCTGGGATGCTCCCCGTGCCCCGGATACTCCTCCCGTGCCCCAGGATCTCCCCTGCTGCCGGATACTCCCCGTGCCCTAGGATATTCTTCGTGCCCCAGGATACTCCCGCGTGCCCCAGGACACTCCTTCGTGCCCAGGATCTCCCGAGCCCCAGGATCTCACCCGTGCCCAGGATACTTCCCCATGCCCAATACTCCCCGTGCTGCCGGATGCTTCCCCCGTCCCAGGATACTCCCTCGTGCCCTAGGATATTCCCCCCTTGCCCAAGGATACTCCCCCTGCCCCAGGATACTCCCCAACCTCCCGCACAGTATCCCCCTGAAGGCTCCCCCCTGCTACGTCGAGGCATCTGCAGGGCCAGCCAGCAGGGAGTGACCTGGGGGCCAAGACAAAGCCCCGCCAGACAAGACACGAGGGCGTGGGTCTCCTGCTCGACCTTCCACGACCTCTAACGGGGTGCGTCCGAGCTACACCATGACGCCGCCTCTCGCCATATTTGGTCCCTCGGCCGGAAGGGGTGCAAAGCAGGGCGTAGGAGACGTGCCATTAGGATATATAAGCCTGAGGACGTTTTCGTTTTGAACTCATAACTCATTTTTTGACCGGAAGTCTAAAGGGATGTTAAAGGTCTGTGTTCGTGTGTTTACTGAATTCTTGTGGATTTACTTGTGTTTACAGGGACCCGGAGAAGGTATTCCATTCACAAACGATACTTATTAATACTACAGACGAAATATTGGAGATTTATAACCCTGAAATGTCCATAGTGAACTATGAACCTCTTGCTGAGGGGAACTGGAATGTTTATAGGCGCCTGGGTGTTAATTTAGTGACATCTTAGCGGGTTCAGTAGTGTCTTGAGCCAACTGGGGAAGACACTCAGGAAATGGACCATATTACAGCTACTCCATAAGGTCACTGGAATGTCAGGGACGGACATGTTAGTCGCCAGGAATTCATAGTATTTGTTAACAAGTTTCAGACTGCTTGACGTGTTGTACTTCAAAACTATTTCTAATACTCTTGGCTGCAACAGATTGTCCTATAAGCTATATACTAGAGCCTCAAACATAGTACTTAAATTTAGGGCAAAGGTTTAATTATCAAGTATGATAATTAAGTACAGTATGAGGAGTTTGGATAACAAGAACGGACAGTACTTGTTGAGCGACGGGACAAGTACTGGGCAGACTCAGTAGTTGTAAAACAATATGCTAATGAATAAGACAAAGGTAATTCACAAAACAGTTTTTGTTTCGTGGCCAGATAATTAAATAATAAGTATGATAATATTTAAGAATAATTAGTTGTTGGATAATAGTAATTTTAAGTAGTTAATACTGAATATAATCAAAATTTTCAGCATTATAGTTCAATCTGGAAATGCCATCTCATATATTGCCCCATCAACTAAACTCCGCTCACTAATGGCGTCCTTAGCAACCAACACAATCCGTGGCAGTTGATTGGTTGCCGGTTGCTACGTGAATTCTGCCACATATTACTGAAAACAATCACTAAATTTAATTGCTTTCAACATTTAATGTAATATTTGCCAGATTGGGTGAGATTGCCTCTTGTTTTTGTTTCAGATAAATGATAATCTATAATCGCTCTTCCTTTGATGGTACAAATATAATAATAAACTAATTAAAAACATAAACTGGCACCTCGACACTCTCCTGGATGTAAATATTACTTCGCGAATTTTCCCGTCGAAAATTAGTCGAAGGAGCGGCGGGAAATTTATTACCTTGTCTGTATTTGGTAGTGGGTGGCATGTGTGGTATGTGCTAGAATCTGCGGGTATGTTCTGGTATGTTGGAGTGATATGTGAATGTATCCTGCTGTGTTGCATAAACCTACTTGGCATGTTTGAGTAAATAAATGAAGGCGTTCAATTAGGTGCCGGTATATGTTTAATATGCGGAGGTATGTTGGTGTGTGTGTGTGTGTGTGGATACGAGAGGAGAGGATACGGTATGTGTTATGTGGATGTGGGTAGTGTATATCGGAATCGTAGCCAAGTACTCGAAAACTTCATCTCGGAATATTTACCTAACCTAATCTAACCTAACGTAACCTAACCTAACCTAACCACAACCTACACCAACACCTCACGCTTCACAATCAAAGAAACACAACAACAACTCACAACTCACAACTACAACTCACTGGCTATAACCACAAAAAAACCCCGCTAAGAGGTCACCGTATAACCCTGAGGTCACACGCTGGGCCACCATCCTCTCAGGGACGGATGAACCACTACCCCGCTGGCCGTTACTGGACGCCCCGCAGACCACGAAGAAGGGTGAGAAAAAAAATAATCATCCCAGCCAGTACCTTATGACATCAGAGCACCGTTAACCTGTGGTCACTTGAACCCCGACTCCGTGGATATCTTCCTTCCTACCCTCTCCTCTATCCTTCCCCTTCTCTTCCTTCTCTCTCCTTCTTCTATGTTGCTGTTCTGTTTGTTTTTCGTCTTCCAGGAAGTTTAGTTTCAAGAGTTGTTTGGAAAAATAATCTTCTGGTCTTGAGCCTCAGATGACCTGGAAACTATTCCCTCCAATAACATTATCTGTTCTCTCCTCTAAACAGTTCCAGGCAGTGAAAGTAAACTCTTCATTCTTAGCAAGATAAACTGGAAGGGTGTGATCGCTTCCTGGGACATTGACTGGAAATTCGACTGGAAGCTTGACTGGAAGGGTAAGACATACCCCCTGGTACTTTGACTGGAATCTCGACAGGAAGGGTACGACTTCTTCCGGGAACATTGACTGGAAGTTCGACTGGAAGGTGAACGACCACTTCCTGGAATCTGTCGAGGTCTGAATGCTAGATTCCTCCTGGAAAACTATAGGAGTAGTATTGAGATTAATACTGTAAGATTCTTTTAGTGGTAGAAGTTTTCTTACAAGGAAGCATCCAGCCTGCAAGATAGGATGAGTAATATTGAGAGCTGTATTTATAAAATCTCTTCGTCAGAATTCGAGCTGTAAGGATGTACTATATTGCTCTTGGAAGAAAGGATGTGTAGGATTGGAAATACCACTAGGAGACTGTCTTTGGTAGAAGTCTGGTTGCTAGGATATATCCCACCTTGAAGACTGGATGAGTAGGATTGCAGTCTCTTGCCGATATTTTATTCTAGAATCCTGACTGGAGAGAGAATATCCTCATTGAGTATTTGGTAGGTCTTCTTCTTATCTCTTAGAGAATGTTTGGTGCAAAAATCTGACTGGAAAGGCGTAAGCTTTCTGGAATGTTAGATGGGTAATGATAATGCTCTCTCTCTCTCCATCAATCTTTATAATACTTAATCTAGGAAATGTTGGAGAAGAAAAAAAGATGATACAAGAATGATGATGGACAATAAGGATACACTAAAAGAAAGAAAGAAAAGAAAGAAAGAAAAGAAAGAAAGAAGAAGAAGAAGAAGAAGAAGAAGAAGAAGAAGAAGAAGAAGAAGAAGAAGAAGAAGAAGAAGAAGAAGAAGAAGAAGAAGAAGAAGAAGAAGAAGAAGAAGA